AGAGAGAGAGAGAGAGAGAGAGAGAGAGAGAGAGAGAGAGAGAGCGATGCAATCTGATATACACGCTACCAGCCAAAATAGAGTTTGATGGATGCACCCTATCGCGGCTATTCGTCCAGACTCGACTGTAAATTGGATAACCAACGTAGGCGGATTTGTCCGTTTTTTTTTTCTGTTGTAAACGTCGCTAGCACCGTGCGTCCGCGGCATTAGCCATTGAACTGATATTAACGCGAGTTGCGATGAATACGTTACCGGCTGGCGTTTTAAGCTCATCGTATATACTTGCGCGATTAGGACGCGCGAAATTGAGTTTCGATCGTTTCGGCGAGACACTTTGATAAAGAGCCGCTGATTGAAATTTTGTGAAAAATCGATTGAAGGACGGCGCGAGGAACTGATTTAAATCGCGGAACAGTGCGAATTTTCTTTCTATCAGACTTGGAAATTTAATCGTTGCGGTTCGCGTAGGCATTCTCCGCGCTACATATTACGAGCATTACTGTCTAAAATATCGCAGGATCAGGGTCATACCCGTTAATCGTGGATACGCCATAATCTCCTGTTGCGGCTATACGCGCGCATCACGAGTATTATGCTGCGAGAGTACATAATGTGTGGCGGGAAGCGCGAATAGATAATCCAATCTGAGGTCTGCTTTGTGCGAATAATACGATAGATGGGATCCTGATTGAGTTTCGTTCTCGTTTGACGGTCGTTTCGGACATGCGGCGAATCAGCGTTATCGTTAGGTTATTTCTGTTTTCGGGACAGAAAAGTTTCGCGAAGTTTCGATGAATGATGATATCTTCCATGAGACAAAGTTGCTCAAACTCGAGTTTGCGCGGCCGTGATAGCACTTTTAGATTAAAATATTTATACATTGTGTACGTGTATGTGTGCGCGCGCACACGAACTCGTAAATGCCCAGATATTTGATAGCCAGAAAATATGTTTCATGAATACGCTATGTGACATTAGATATATAACATAATATATACATAGAATATATATACGTAGAATATATTACGCTATTTGTGGGCGCGAGAAAAATTGTGTAATGCATCAAAAGATACGAAAGATGTCTTCATTCACGGGTGAAAGGAGGTTGGAATCGTTTCAAATTCATACCTTCGTGAAAAACGATCCCTCGACGTGAATGAGATTTCATAATCGGGAGATCTTGAGATGCCGTCTTTACCACACTAAGAAGTTGTAGGAAGTGGACGATATTATGTTCCTTCGTGTAGCATCTTCCCTCCGCCATTGTGAAATAGTGTCAAATCACTACAGTAGTTCCCTCTAGTGTCAACTGGAATAAAGAGCAGTTTGATTAAAACTCAATCGACAACGACACAAGAAAGAAACAGAGAAATAGAGAGAGAGAGAGAGAGAGAGAGAGAGAGAGAGAGAAAGAGAAAGGAAAAGATACCACAGCTGATGATTTTATAAATATTTAGAAAGTTTTTTCTTGAAAGGTAAATTATAATATTACGAAAGAAGTTATTAATTTAAAAATTTTCATTATACCGCGTATCATACAATTACAATATTGAACGAAGGAAACAAAAAGTAAAAATATCAATTGTAATTTATAATAGTATTATATTTTTTATAAAAGAAAAGCTAAGGTACCGAGATGAGGAGAAGGTTATTTTGTTATTTCAGAGATAATTAAAGAATATTTATATACGACCGAACGTCGGTATAGAAGATCGCTGTATCGTTCACGACTTCTATGTGAGAGGGCGCAGTATGTAATCTTATGCCAACTTTTAATTGACGGCGACATTTTTCACAACAAAATATAAATAATAATTTATGTGAATAAAAGAAATCATTTTCCAAGAAAACCCGAAACATCTGTGCATCTGTGTAGATTTAATATCCTTAATCTTTACAACGTACAAAATATACCCCCAATTTCAAGAATTAATCCTTTTACAGTTGGTAACAACGTAGCGTCTCAACGGGCTGTTGGTGGTTTGAAACTTTAGACCATGTACGAGTATTTTTACAGATTCTTCTGTTGCTATTTATTTAGTAGCCCTATTTTTATCTCCGTACAGAAATCGGTGGAAATAGCTACTGGTACCGTGTAATGTGCATAAGAAACTAACGGATAGATGTTTTCTCGTTTATTTACTATAAGGTTTTGTGCTTCACAGTTTTGTTGACATCGCTTGTTTTTTTTGATCGTCTATCTCCTTTGTTAAAAGTCATTACTGCGCGATGAGAGCGCTAAATAAATATGCTTGAGCAGAGAAATGACAAAACGGAGGTAAGTAATAAATAATATAATTGATATTTATGTTTTATGTTTATTACAAGATTATTATTGCAGATACATCTTAAACATTATTTTAAATTGTTAAAAGTCGAATAAAAAGGAAAAAGGAACTAAAAATGACATCTCATGTGAAAGATTCTACAGATGATTCGCAGAACTTTATATTGCAACTTTCTAAAGATTCTACTACCGAAGATTCTACTAGTGAAGATATGCAGGAACTTACAGGAAATAATAGGAAGGAAAGAAAGAATGACGTTATTGTAATCAGTGATACAAGTTGCAGTGACATAAGCTCATCACCTAAACATTTTGAGAAATCAGAATGGGTGTCTGGTCCAGTTTTTAAAAGTAAAAATAAAAAGGTGAAATACAAGAAATTATGTATTTCAGACACTTCTTCAGAAGACAATGAAGAAAAGATTAATTTACCGTGGAGATTACCTGTTAGATCTGATGACAAGTCCTTATATAAAAAAGGTATAAATAATGTACAAAATCATAAAGCATTTTATTCTTCTGACAAGACTACTACTACTAGTAGCGATATGAGCTATGATAAGAATATTAAAAAGCAGACAAGTAAATCTGATATAAAAAAGTCTTGCAAAAATATTATGTTAACACCTGTGAGGCGAGAAACTAGCCAATCTGATACAGTTGAGATGCGCAACATTAGAGGGACAAATCGAGTAACCACACCGAGTAGCAGTGGCAGCTCTAATGTGCAGAATAGATTAACTAAATTTACTATTTGTAATACTCCGCAACAAAATAATGCAGGAAAAGTCAAACTCACAAAAGAGGATACTCACAAAATCTTCAAGAATATTATTTCCACAAAAGTCGTGTATGATTCTCCTAGAAAGAAGGGAGAGACTAATGTAATAATTAACGAGAGTACAGATGTAGACGACGATATAATGCATCCAGCTATATTACCTAGACATAATAGGGAAGCAAATTATCGTAATGATAGTTTTGATGTTATCGAGACGAGTCTTAAGGACAATATTATCCCTGATTCACAACCCGACTCGCCAAAACTGTGCAATCAAGTGATTATTGATAGACCAAAAGATGAGGTTTTTCACAGGCCATTGTCTGAGAGGAAGAAAAGAGAAATCGCACAGTGGCTTATGACAAATCAATCTGACTCACAAAGTGACAGCTCTTGCAGTAACATACCCGCGAGCACGAGAAACAGTATAAATTCGGGAAATAGCACACTAGAGAGACTAGAATTGGATTATGAAACTCCAAATAACAGAGGAAAGATCAACAAGGTACATGCTAATGAGGAGCAAACTATAGTTACGTGCCACGAAGAGGAAATTCCAGTGATCTCGACGCGACAAACTATTCTGGATAGATTCGTTGAAACATCTAAAAATAATAATAATAATCCTGAGTCTTGTACACCAGACAGACCAGTTGCTTTACCAAAAACATACTCTGACAAAAATATCTCATCACCATCGGTGGCAAATAGACTTGAGAGTGCAGACGTAAAGAACTGTGCGAATATATTGGATAAACTTTATGGTAAATCGTGGAGGAATAAAGCTGATGTATTATTACCAACAACTGAGCCACGGAAAAAACCCACCAAGACAATAGTTAAAACTATACAAACGGAACGGTAATTCGTATTTTCAATTGTAATTTCGTGTTCACTACAAATATATTTAACAAGTTATACTTTGTTACAGGAAACCTGTATTGAGGGACAAAAATTGGGTAACAAATTTAGGCGTGGCCGACTTAGGTAAACATTTCTCTATTTTGTGAAAATCTCATCTTTCATCAAGATATAATTTCCTCTGAAAAATTTTGTTTCAGTTAAAAATAACATCAGATCGGACTCAAGAAAAAAGATCCAACGAAAGCACAAGAAACAACAAGATAGTTTCATTAATGACAAATCATTGTCGAGTGACAATAACGAGAGTATGTATCATACTGCCTTAACAAATTTTAGAACTTCCACTGATAACATGACACCAAAACAAAGTTATACCAAACCTGTGCCAGTGACGTCTTCAACTACACGGTACGTCTACATTATATTTGTTATTTGTCTCAATGTGTCTGTGTGTATATGTAAAGAAATATTGTTAATCAAACCAATTTCTTGTTATTTTCTTGTATCTTGTTGTTTTAGAATTTTTTCAATATGCGACACCGATACGGAAGATGAGATAAACGACCAATCCAGTAGTGATTCCAAGAAGAATTTCCGTCAAAGGAAATTATCATTCAGTGATGACGATAGTTCTAGCACAAGTGAATTTGATCCTGGAGACTATGTACCACCAAAACTCATCCCTAAAAAAAGTGAGAAACGTAGTACATTTGTTGAAACTCTTGAAGAAGGAAAGAATCATAAAATATATTTTTAGAAACTATAAACGTGCCACAGCCACCTAAAGTAGCAACGAAATCTAAATCAGTTACGGCGAGTAAATTTTTGGGACACAAAAGCTTCTTGGCATCCTTATCGATTACGGTTCCTATGAATAACGTCCACCCCGACGCAAGGAAATATAGATTGGATTACAAAAATCTGAAAGAAGAGTTATGCAAAAAATTGCATAAATTGTACAATGAAAAAGTGTTTGACAATAAATTGCCACATGATATGCCGATTGAATGGAACGTTCGTATGAGAGGTACTGCAGGATATTGTTACAACAAGAAGGTTGTGAGAAGTCTCACTGGTATCGTTAGATCCTCAAGGATTGCACTAGCAACAAAGGTACATTTTTCCTCTCGGTTATTAGTCACATACGTATGAGTACATAATGAATCAGATATAATTAAAATAAATTATAATTTATAGATTTTAGATACACCTGATAGACTGAGGGATACTTTGATACATGAGATGTGTCATGCTGCAGCTTGGTTAATAAATGAAGTGTCGGATGGTCATGGACCTTTCTGGACAGAATGGTATATTTTATTATATTTCATAGTTTCATAAAAAAAATTGGAGGATATTATGCGTTTTTCATGTGAAATTCTATATGATTTATTTTGCACTGCACGCAGGGCTAATAAAGCAATGAGGACGTTCCCGGAACTGCCACCAATTCGTCGTTGCCACGATTATGAAATTAAGACTAAATTTACATACAAATGCACAGGTTGTGGCTACAGGTATGACATATCAATTATGACAGGCAAAAGTTTACTCTGACTATGATATCTCTAAAACTGATACTATTTGTCACAGCATTGGAAGGCATTCCAAGTCCTTGGATATTGAGAAGAAGCGGTGTGGTCATTGCTACGGAAAGTTTGAATTGTTAGTCAATAAAACGACGAAATCTGGAACTGTGCAAGTGCAAACTCCAAAAAGGGAGCCCTCTGGTTTTGCACTTTACGTAAAGCAAAATTATAACTCTGTGAAAAAGGAAAAAAATATAAAACATGCAGATGTGATGAAGATTTTAGGTCAGCAATTTTCGGCAATTAAGATAGCAAAGAAAAATAATCCAGCTATGGAAAATGATCCAGGGATACCTGGTTAAATGTTGTATATATATATATATAATTTTTTTTAGAATCTTACTGTTAAGAATGGCGTATAATTTTTAATTCTATAGCATATAGCATTTTAGCAAACTTTAGAGCCACCAATTGCACATATTCGGATTCTATCGATTTTGTATGTATTTACATTTATTGTAATTGCATAAATTTCTTAAAGATATATGCAATTACAATATAGATGCGTAGAGTACCAGTATATTCTAGAAGATATATTTTTTTTATTATTGCAGGCATTCAAATGTGAGATTTAATATACACGTAACATAGAGGTTATTTAGAGACGCATACAAGTTCTTATATGTAATAATATTAAATATCATGATTAAGATATCTGTAGAAGAATTTATAACAATAAAATTTACCAAAAGTATCAACGCCACTTTAAATATTCCATTTTACTAGTACATAAAGCGAAATGATTCCAATTTACCAGCGTAAATTCGAATTATGTTTTCTGAAATTTTCATCAACGCGCACGCAGCATTGACAGCTGCAGGATGACATTTACCATACGGAGCAAGAGAGATAGTGACGAAAACAAACCGATACTTTCTCTATCTCACAGGTTGCCAACTTTGGGTCACGTACGGTTACGGAACGAGCGTCGTCCAATAACAGAATTCGCATTCTAGAGACAAAAGTATCGCCTGGCAGAAATTCCTAGCACCGTCGGCTGTCAAACGCGTCACGAAAGTACCTGTTTTACTCGTGGTGGCGCGCGTGTCGAGCGTCGCAACGCGTCGGCAGCGCACTCTAAAAACAGTCGTGCCGAAGATGGCGACGTGTGAGCGGCGGTGTCCGCGCGGTGTTTAGGCGAGTGAGAGAGTGTGTGAGAGAGGTGTACCATGTTGCCGCCGTTGCAGCGTCCGCAGTGTTTCTGTGATTCGCGTTAAGTTCGGTGCTAAATGTAGGAATGTCAGAGGCGAAACGGGTACCTCTGCAGACCCTGGAGTTCCCGGAGTCCCTGGGCCACGCTACGAAGAAGGAGAAAAAGGGGAATATGGGCAAGCAGCTCGCTCCCTCCTTCCGCTTCACGCTCACCCTGCCGGAGTCGAACGAGAAGACATGCCCCGAATTCAACTACGCGCAGCTCCTGAAATCGGCCGAGGTGAGTCTGACCGCGCTCGACAAACGTGCCCTTGCCACACTTTGGAGCTGGCGAGAAAAAGGGAGATCGAAGGGACCTGTGCGTGCGCGTTGGACGCGCGCGCGAGAGACATACGGCGAGAAGTGAGACGGACTAAACCGCGTGTCCGTGTCGCAGCGCAGGGAACAGATGGCAACGTTTGTGGAAATACGCGAGGAATCGTCACGGCGCTCTCCGGCGGCGCGTCGTTCGCGCGATTGTCATCACGCGGTCGGACGGCGAACGGCGCGATGACATCGCCGTGTCCGCCGTCGCGTCCTCCGTCCCTACGTGAGAACGCGGTGTCCTTCGCCACGGCTGTCCGAGAGACGGGCGAAAACGGCTTTCCTTGATCGATTCGCAGCCCTCCGCCGCGAGCCGTGTTCGCGCGTTGTCAACGTCATCGCTGCGTGCCGCCGGGCTGCTGCGTCGCCGACGTATGCACGTTGTCACGAGGCTGTAAGGCGGGCGCGTCAGATTGCACACTTTAGAGGACGTGCGCGCCTTTCTCTCGGCGTTCCTCGCGCGGCCCTTTTACGATCATAAAACGCCTCTACGAGAGTTGCCATTGAGCGACGACGACACCGTCCGGCATTGCGAGCTCTCCTCGTCTCTGTCTAGTTTTCCTTTCCTTCTCTCTCTCTCTCTTTCTCTCTTATTCACATACACATACAATACATCTCTCCGTTTCTTTTGCTCACTGTTCCTCAAGGAAGATCGACAAGGAAAGAGAGAGAAAGAGAGGAACGGCGGCAACGACGATGCCTTATTCGTTGTGTGTGCAACGTCTACGATCTATTTCGCAAGCCACGTATTCCCTTCGGCCGCGCACTCGTCGAGTGCACAAGAGACGAGGATATGGAACGAGGAGAGAATGAGAGACGGAGGACGCGAAGCGAAGGGAGACAGAAGGAGAGGGACAACGCGCGACACGACGTAAATGCGTGTGTCGCGCGGAGTCTCTTATTTCACGCGCGCGCGAGAGAGAGCGTGTTGCGGGCTCTCCTTTCTGAATTGTAGATCGATGCACCGGAGGCGAGACTCGTGACCGCCGGCACGTATCGAATACGCCGCTCGCGAGACCGTATGTCACACGTTCGCGAGCCTCTTCTCCTTCCTCTCTCTCTCTCTCTCTCTCTCTCTCTCTCTCTCTCTCTCTCTCTCTGTCTCTCTATCTATCTCTTGCCTCGGCTTCTCACTTCTGACGTGATGAATAATTATCAGCGAGATTGATCATCTCTCGAAAATAAAGTAACAAGTGTATTTTTAATTGTCTCTATACTTCATGAAACAGCGAGCAGGACGATTGACAGTACGAATCTCAGCGAATAAATTTTGCTCGAGATATGTGTGCCGCACAGTAGCTGGATAGACTTTCTAGAACTAGAATTTCCTGAAAACTCGTTACGTTTTTCCGAGAAATTTTCTCTTTAAGAGATTTCGCACATTTGGCGAATAAATTCGACATGGGTTTGACAAAGGCGTTTTGGTTATAGCTTAATTTCTAATACTTAGTATTTTGAATGTTTAGTGCGGTATTTATTGTGATTTTTTATTGGCATCCTATTTAGCGAAATACATTCCAAAATCAATAGAGACACAACAGTTTCTTTTGAAGTTTCCTTTGCTTTATCTTTTTTATCTTTACCTTTCTCAAAAGAACAGCTGCGTTGTGCAAGATTCCTAAATTTTATATTTTCTGATTGTGCTGGATTTTATTGCTCGGATTTTATGTCCCATGCTCAAAATAATTGTAACTGTGTAATCTAGAAACATCAATAAGATTTAAGTGTCAATTACGTCGGTGTCATTAATCGCTGAATTAATTTTCCTGAACAGTGTGACTGAATACACTTGAAATTTATTTCATTCTCTTGCATATCTCGTGTCCGTCAATTTGTCGAGGAGGTACAGATAAATATTGGTTTATTGAAGCGCACGAGAATGCAGAGTCGAATTTGACGTTTCAGCGCCACTTTGTTTTGACCGCGCGCACGTGTCTCGAAAACGTGGTGCGAATCGCCAACGAATTAAATTTCGGAAAAGCGAGGCGCTCAGTTTGAAAATTTGCCGTGTAAAATTGCTCGTTGACCTTCACCCTTGACATTATTCTGCACATTATATCGCGCGGAATTAAACAGATGTATATATGATACATGACAGTCTCTCGTGTAACACGTATATGTAATGTATAAAAATCGGAATTTTAAATTGAAAATTGAGAAACTCTCATATTCGTTTAATTTGAAATATTAACAATGAGATTCGTGTGCACATGCAGACGGTAATTTCAATGAACATGTTGCGTTGTTGTGTTTTGCAACTATCCCCCTCCTCTCCTCCTCTCTTTCTCTTTTACTCTCGTTTCCCTTATTTTGCGATCCCGCCATGTGATAACCGCGCGTAGCCGCGTGCAATTCTACAATTTTACTGAATTTTTTGAACCTGGCCGACGTGACTGAAACACTCGTTCTGTGTTACCGGGTTAATCCCCCTCCCCTTTCCCTTTTGTTAAGAATCCCAATAATAACGGCGAAGCGGCGAAATATCACGATAGAAAAGTGAAAGTGACGCTATGCAATATTCGCGCGACGGGGAGGAATCTCAGTTGATCGATTAAATAATTAGTCGATTACGCTCGATCGAGGCGTTTCGCGCAAAAAAGGGGACCACTTTCGATTACTAACAATTGCATCGCTGGCAGGATCAATCACTCGATTCGGCGTCCCTGTACCAGGCGAACAGGAGACCGTAGGAGGTGGCCGTCCGCGACTCGAGCGAGAGAGCGCGAAAGCGCAAGGACGACGTTCTAACTGCGGTATGCGCTCCTGGTATCGGCGCACGCGAGGGCCACCCTTTCAGAGTCAATTATTGTATTTTCACACGAGTATACGTGAATGCCTGGGATTTGCGTAGAGAAATTGCGCACACATGTGTGTACGATACGCACATCGTACATACGTCGTTGTTCCGATCGATCTGAATTTTGTAGTGAAAGTGGCGTGGAAAGTCGTGCCGCGCGAGTGGCGGAGTAGAACGATCCACTGTAGATTAATAGGTAACGTCCGGTGTTACAGCAGAACGATGCAAACGCACGACGGAAATGTAACGAACGATTTTATTTGCTTTGCAGAAGAAGCGAAGGAAAGATCAGAAGAGAGGAGATGAGAACGCGACGAATGGATTGGATCCGTTCGACGATGACGATGACGAGGACAAGCTTCGGGACATGGCGAAGCGATTTGAAGCGAAATATGTGCGTGCGATAAGTTAGAAGCGCACTCTGACATTGATTTCGGGGTATCAAGGGAATCTCTAAATGTTTATATCTTCTGACGCGTTGCAGGGAACGTCTACCATGGGAAAGAAGAGGCACAAGTACGACGATTATGTGGACTTGGGCGCGGGATACGATGAGAACGATTCTTTTATCGACAACACCGACGCTGTACGTAGTACCGTAGTTCGCGTTCGTTCAAAAGAATAATTCGGTCGAAGCATTTTTCTTTCATTTAATTCCTTTATTCTCCTTGGCAGTACGACGAAATTGTACCCGAAGAGATGACCACGGCGCACGGCGGCTTCTACATTAATTGCGGTGCCCTTGAGTTTCGTGCGGCCGATAGGCACTCATTAGTTCACATTAATAATAATAATAATAATAGTGACGAAGACGAGAGCAGCGAGAGCAGTGAGGAAGACACCGAGGACGTGGATAGCCCCAAACGCGTAGAGAAGCGAATTATTAGTTCATCGGATGACGATGAGACGGAGGATATTACCGGCAGTAACCCACGAAAAGTAACTGAAATTTAAACACCGATATATCGTTATTTCACTCAAAATCCAAGAACCGATAACAACGGCATAACTTTTCACAGAGGAAAATTGAGGACAACGGCGAGAAGAAAAGTAATCACGAGAATGGCAAAAAGAGGAAAAAGGCGCAAAATCACCAGACGCCGCAGGATCAGCAACAACAGAATTCTCAACAGGAACTGGACCTTCTCAACAGACGGAAGGATAAGAGTGAGATGACCGACGTTGAAGGTGGTACAGGTAGCGTTTTGAATCATTACACACTGTTACAATATTTAATTATATCGAAAGTGTCAGTTATTGATCGATTTGTACGTTGTTCCTTAAATAATTCTGCAATTTCAGCTTCTGAGGATCAAGAGGAGAAAAAGAAGTCTGATAAATCGGAACTACAAAAAAATAAGATAAGTGATAAGAAGTTCGATATTAAGAAATTCGAGAAGAAATCGTCCAATAGTAACGGATTCGACGCGAAAAAGATGGATCTAAAGAGGTTCGGCGGTAAAGACAGCAACATCGACGACGCGATCGAGAGTGTTGTGAACGCGGCCAGAGTCGAAGATGACACTTCGAGTCGAGACACATTCGACTCGGGAAAATCACGCGTTTGCCTCTACGTCGAATCCGACGGAGAGGAAATATATAATAAGGAAGCGCTATTACCCGAGAATCTTCCTGAAGATATCAAAGAGATAGTGATTAAGTTGAAGGCTCACGCGGAGAATAGTAAAGATGGCAAGAGCAAATTCTTCAATAATACGATTAACGAAGTACTTTTTAAGTGAGTATATATCGTGCAATGATCGTGAAGAAGTCAGATCATGAAAACGGTTCTGAACACACGTTATTTTCGTTACAGTTTAGAGAAGAAATTGCGGTCGATGAATACGCCTAGCGTAAGGTTACAAACCTATGATCATCTAGTACGGTTTTTGCCTTGTAAAAAAATTACCCTTCTCAGTAGAGCTAAAAAGTTGTATCTGGAAGATGCAGAACATAGAGTGAATGAACCAATGCAAAAGTAAGTTTTATTCATGTAGAAAAATAATTATAAATAATTATTTTAATTATGAATAATTGTTCTAAAATTTCCGGAGAGATGTAGTATGTGTATTCCTCTAAAAGAGTTTAGATTTTTACAAAGTTTATTAATTTCAGATTAAAGACGCTCATTGATAACGTTATGCCGTCAGTTATGGACAAATACATGAAAGAATGCCAAAAAGTTGCCGACGAAAAGTGAGTAACTTTATTGTATTTTATATATCACAGTAGTTTGACAAATATTTTGATTTTTGTTCCTGATTTTACAACGGTTGTATTTTAGTTCTGCTTTATTACTGGGTTGGTATGTTAGTAAACTTCTTCTGTTAGTAAAATCTATTAACTTTTGGGTAATTTGTAAACGTATATTGTAATCTTGGATATATACAGCGAAGTATATCTGCGAATTGAGAAAATCCACTTTGCCGGTATTAATACATAAATCTACTATTTATAATTTCCTGAACCTAAACTTATTGTAATTTTTTATTTCTCAGTCCTCAATTATACTGGGAGATATATCGGTACTGTTGGTAAGGCGCCCCTCGTAAGAGGAACCCCTATCTATTCTCGCCTCTCCGATTGCTCTTTCTCTTCATCTTTCCCCTCTCTTTTCTACTGCCTTTATCTTTCTCCCTTGATCTATTCATGCTTATACGCTTTTGCTCTCTCAATTAATTACGAAACATTCATGATCTGGTTATGTTCACATATATGAATGAAAAGACATTTCATTACTTAGTGGTCATTTTTCATCGGACATACTATTGAGAAAGCAGAGGAAGATGCGGGGCTTTTTATCATCAGTATCAGTGTTTAGTTTGTCACTAGCATCATTTTTTGTATTTAACAAAATATGCATTTGATCTGGGACACAATTCGACGATTAGGTGATTTGATAACGTATCATGTTACTGTTCAAAAGAAAATTGTGTCGTATCGAGGAATTCTGTCACAACAAATGCTGATCATCATTCTTTGTCACCGCGATATCATGTATTCTCAAAATAATATTTTTCGTCTAAATATAATTGTACTGTTCACTTTCAGGGGATTCGAGGGATCTCCTGCGGATGCGGAAAGCAGCGGGGAAGACGATGCCTCTAAAAATACAGATAAGCCGAAAATACCACGGAAGCGATTTCCATGGACTGACGAAGCAAAGTATGTTACCGGTTAAAAGTATAAGATTCACGTGCATATTGAGTTCCTGCGCGCGTTCACACGTATAAATGTCCATTTTAGGAAACTTGTCCTTGAAATTGCGAACGCTAGGAGACATTACTTCAAAATTCTTAGACCAAGAAAAGAGAGTATGGAATCGTTTGTCGCCACTTTCATGGATACTAATGTTTTACCATTGTGGCCACCCGGCTGCGTACGGTTACAAACATTGATAAAATACGGTAGTCCTGTTGGACCTGTGTAAGTATTACGTTATTACGTTGAGTAGTGAATGCGCTTTAATAGCCATTGATAACAGCAAGCGTATACGATACAAATTTTACTGTCTATGAGCATGGAAAAGAAGACTTTTAAATTATTTCTGCTTCGCTTTGCGCATGAAAAACTAAATCCTACTATAATATTTATATCTTTATCTATATTTATATCTTTATCAAAGTGAGAGAGATATTAATATCTAAAAAAACGGGGAAGTAGATCTCTCACTAATTGCTTTACAAATCATGGTTGAGAAATCCGCGCGTTGTCATGTTCTGTCAGATTCTACTCGATCGGTAGCTTTATTGTTTGGCCCATTGTGTGTTTTAGGAAGGATTGTGTTGGATATATTATTGGGTGTTAATATGATTTTGTACCTCTTCACAACGAATTAATGGATTTCTAGTAAAAAGTTGAATTCTACAAGAGCGATATTCAACTAGATGCATTTATAGATAAACTACCTATAAAAATTGATTCGTATGCAAATTATTAATGTCGATGTTGCATTGCTTTTCAAATATGACATTTTAATTTATTGTGTGTGTATACATATACCAAGATCGTTTAAATTATTTATATTCAGTTAACATGCGTATATTTATTTCTGTTCATATTTATTTATTTAAATGTATAATTACATGGTTTCTCGATTAAAATTACTTTTTATTTTTTACACGCCTTGCCTTTTCGTCTTACTAATTCACTCGCTTATGCACTTCTTGGATATCAACTATTTACTGCTTTATATTAAACTATTAATATAATTTTAGCATCAAGAAGAAATTGAAAAAACCGAAGGAAATTGCCAATCCAAATAACGTTGCTGTCGGGAATACTCAAATTTGCAACTCCGTTGCGAGAAACGATACCATAAGCGTGAATAACGTTTCATCTCAAGAAAGGGAGAGGATACCTATGAACATGTCTAGAACTCAGAGCGGCGTCGAACTACCAATTTCGACTACCAATTTCACGAATCAAGCGTCGGTGAGGTCTAACGACGTGGGTGTCGATAAGAAGCAACAAAGCAATAAACACAAGGAGAAACACATGGAGAATAACACGGTACAACAGCAAGAAAGTGTCACGGCCAATGCCGTCAATGTCAATAATTCTACAGTTGGCAAAATTTCCGTTGTACCTACGGCTCAATTGATGGCTCAAAAGCCGGCTAAGAGTCACGTCGAGAAATTTAATCTCATGGATTTAACCAACAGCTCTCTGTCCATCACGCCTGTCAACGATTACCACAAATTGTCGGGAAAGACTACGGAGACGAAGAAGGATGTAGTTTCCATCACGGCATGTACAGAATCGGCGAGTCACTCGAAAACGAACGAGATTGCTCAGAGTGGACATCATTCCGTGTTCAGGCAAGATGCTTCTCATTCGTCGTCAGTGCAGAATCTGAAACACAGACTGCTGCTCGAGAACCCTGACGCAAAGTGCGACAAGAGATTAGATGACAAGGATGCCGATATGGGTAATAAAATCGAGAAGAAAGACAAGAAGAGAGATCGGTGCGTAGAAGTGAAGCATAAACCGTCACACGATACGAAAAAGAGAAAAAAGGATCAGAAGCTGCTCGAGCAGCAAATAGGGCCTATTACCCAAGACATAGTGCCTATATCGCAGCAAGCGACCCTCTCGAAAGAAGAACAGGAGCAGAGGCAGAACGAAGAAACGATCGCCGCGACTAACTTCCTCAGTCAGATCATCAACGATGACACATCGCCGCGAGGATTGACGGACAAACGGAAAGACAATTTCATCGCGGACGATAATCTGAGTAGTATAGTACAGCCGACGGAGCAGGAGAAGGACGTGCAAATGGTGATGCGATCATTGAAGGAGTTGCAAGAGTTGCAAGAAATGAAATTTTCTCCCAGTCATTCTCCAGTCGGCAGTGCCGTTCAAAAGCCCGGTAAATCGAATACGCATTACGTCTCTTACCAGGAGGAATATCAACGACTGTACCTCAAGAAAGAGGATAAGATAAGGTCTAAGGAGGACTCGCAGTGGTAGATACAACACCGTGTATTATCGTTCGAAGCTTCGTTTTCTTGCGGACAGTAGTAATTAAAAAAATTGATTATTAGTTTCGCGAGACAACAGGCGGGGCTCTCGGTATTTATAATTATGTTTCTTTTCGGCACGAATGATCGAGAGAGGGCCGGCCGAAACTTCTTCCACTTAGGCATCATTATCGGTGAATAGAATTCTCGCAGCTATGGAGTATGGAGTGGCGGCGATCGTTGGTGTGCACGTGTATGTGAACGTGTATGGATGTGTGCGTTTGTCGCGTAAGGATTTTTAAGTATTTTCAAACAGACAACCGCCAAATTATATGTACATACATAAATTCGCTAGTAGTAATCTCGGTTGTATGTGTACAGAGTAAGTATAAATTATGAAGTTGTAGTAAGAGACTCCGTGAGAGAGTAGTTATCTCTGTAAATAAGTTTAAAAGTGTCCCATAATCGTCTCCGTGAGTGTTGGGTGGTCAACGAGAATTTTATTTACATTAATTCAATAAAATATGAAGTTTGCCCTTTTATTATGATCTTAACAATTGTGAATTGATATTTAATATTCTTGATCCGTGTGCGTGGCATTTTATTTTAAACGTCAACGTAAGAGCATAAAGTGCTTTCTTTCTGTTTTTTTTTACAAATACTGCCACAAGCATGGGAGGGACGGGTTGTTGGTGACGGTGGTTTATTTACTTTTTATCTTGTACTATTTGACCACCCTGTGTCACAGAACGAAAAAAAAGAGATATTTTATGTATTGTTCCTTTTTTGTGTACTTCGCCTGTCATTATCGTACATTATCGTACATTATCCTATATGTGCGCAAGGGAAAAGAAAATCATTCAGTTCAGAACAAATATTTGTAAAATTTCACGATTATTGCCTTCTAATTAATTTTATTATCGGATTCGTGTTATTATATAGAATTGACACAAAATTCTAATGTTTCATCTGTTATCGTTAGAAGTCGCAGTAAAATATTTCCACTTTATATCATCTTCGTACGGATTATTTTTTCAATATATCATAAAATCCAAGCATCAACATATTAAGCTCTGCGTTCCCTTTATCCTTAAAGACAGGAGATTCACTAGATTAGCTCAAGATGTGTGCGAGTATCCAGATTGCTTTCTCGATTTATGTGGCTTCATACGCGGCTTGTGACCGAGTGATAGATGTAATAAATAATGTGAAAGAGAGAGAGAGAGAGAGGGAGAGAGAGAGAGTGTATGAAAGAGACAGAGTGGATGCATGAGAGAGCCGTTTGGAGAGAGAGAGAGACAGACAACTAGAATATTTTTGGAACACATAAAGAAGACGATTAGTACTGTATTATATACCGTATACCTTACCCACCCTTCCCATTTTATTCTTATGATACTTAGAATACGGTTAAATAACGTCTTGTACAATTCTGCATTGAGAATTTTCACTAAGACGACTTAAAATATAAGTTTTGAATATTTTTTAAAAAAGTTATATATAATATTTTTTTCTCTCTACCCTTTTGTTCTTCTGTGTCATAACGAAAGACAAACTGGTGTGATATATATCTTCTTTCATAGAGATTTTCCTTTTCGCTTACAATCTGCTTTGATCATTGATAAATACAGTACGCAAAGAAATCCAACAACATTATGAATATCGTGTACGATAAGCACGAAATGTCTGCAATTTTATAAATTATACATCCACGCTATTGTGATTTTTACCTTTCATACTCTAATTTGTCATTTCCGGGCTTACCGGAATTTTGTGATTGTAAATTGTCATAATATATAAAATGCGTCATCGTTATGTACACGTTGAGAGCGTTTGTGCAAGTTCGAAAGATCCATTTGCATTCGGAATCCAGTAATTTCTTCTCGTCCATTTCACTAATACTTATTTTGAACTTTACGTTTCGGAAAAATTCAACGGTCGTAATTTAACATTTTAATAGCAACAGATGAAAGTTGAAACTGTCATTTTCTTCAACTGCTAACAAGAAACCGCTTCGGCATAAAATAGAGGTTCGTTTGTTTTTTTGAACTTGCACGATTCAAATTCGAAGAGTGTTAAATGCGCAAATTTACTGATGCAGAAAAGCGTAATGTAACTAGGTCCGCCAAGTAAGAACGAATGCAAACTACACTTTGGTCTTATGGCACCAAATTCCGGATGCGACGCACTAGACGCCAGTTACGAGGATCATGTCGCGTCGCATTTAATTTTATTCGCACAAACCGAATAATACGCTAAAACTCGGCCGTTATTACAATCGGCATTGTCGACGCTCGTTTGCGCGCGCAGAATCAAAAATTAATGGGTCCTGATTCTAATGTTGCGGAATTCTGGACTGTGATGTGAAAAGCAAAAAAACGTGTGCCATTTTTTAATTAACAAGATATTTGTACGAAAGGACACTCAAGATCGCTTGAGTGTAAAAATTGTAATATTTGTAAAATGCTCAAAAAACTATCCTTCTCCCTTGACAAAATAATTTTAAAATTAATTCGACATGCAATCATCTTCCTTTTTAACCTGCCCTTCCTCATGATTTCGACATGTTAATTTTCAGCTTATTGACACTCGAGGGAAAGGGACAATTTTCGTAACATTTTACAAGTGTACCGAAGCGATCTAAAGTGTTCTTTCGTGCAAATAACTTTCTCTTGAAAAATGGAGACATACATTTTTCGTCATCAATTCAGTGTTTAGCAGCGAAAAGATACGACGGAGTGTTCTCAAATCGTCTTCAAATTACCGCGATGCATCACGAACTGTCACGAGTTCAATGTTGCAAACTTATGAAAAGACCGGCTGGATCTCCGTATACTCAGTTGCAAAACGACTTAAACCATTGTAGGCTATCGTGATTCGATCTGGACAAACTACCTGAACCGTTTCGCAACTTCCTCCGTCACGTAATAAGCGTCAAAGATAGAATAATGCTTTCAGGACGGAAGCACGCGAGACGAGCTTATAGCCTACGCGCATGTCAATTAGGCCACACTCTATCGTCGGCGCGTGAGATTCCTTTCACTTTTCTGGCGACTGGCGGCGCGTGAACAGTGACGCTCTGATATCAACAATAACAAACGCGCGATGAACGTTTTGTTGATACGTCTCGTGTGTCTTAATATTTCGACTATCAAACTATCTCGCCCGAGTATTTACGTGCTCGACACCACGGATATCGCGCGTGATTTTCAATAAATATAAATTCACCGTCACGTATATAAAGTGAGATTAGCGCTGCAGTGCTTCACGGATGGGCCAATTATATTGCATTATTTGACATTTCCAAGCACTTGAATGGTTGTTTTCATTCATTAGCTGCTTAATATCTTACAAGATAACTTAGATAATACGTAGCCAATGGCTTTGCGTAACGCAGTGTTCCCTGTTCAGAGAGCGCCAGTGTAACTAAAAATTCGAATATTCAGTATCTCAATCGCGCCAAATGTCCGGTCAGTTACGGGAGTAAATGGCGACGCGACGGTTAGTGTTCGTGAGATTGCTGCGTACTTTTCGCGATTTCTAGACTCGCTGAGGATGAGTCTCGTGTCGGGAGTGCTGTGAGTGTGTTTTGGACGTTTGGTACAGCGAGATATCGTCGAATAGTGGCCAAAGTGGCTGCGAACATATTGACGAGACGAGACATCGGGATTGCTGAACCTCGGCGCCTTCGTACGTTACAGCAATAAGAAATTCTTGTACTGTCATTCACGCTTTCGAGAGTCTCGCGTGCGACTCGTCGTCGTCAGCTGTGCTAGAGACAAGTCTCGTGTCTGTCGTGACGAGATATCGCGTCCAGCCGGTAATGGACATCGCGAAACAGGACGCCGAAAGTACCGAGCGAAGTGCTCCGCGTATTGCTGTTTCGAGAATCGCAATCGTCGCACTATGGCGACAGTTCCGGAACTGGTCACGACACGATAGTTTGTGCTCGAGAAGCTGTGCTGTATCTCACGCGATTTTCACTCGCTGAAGTTGAGTCTCGCGCGCGGTTTATCGTCAGGAGTGCCGAAAGCAAGTCCCGTGCGTTCGGAGTGACAAGCCGTGGAAGATCGCGGTATGGACTACCAAGAATGCCGGTTTGCAGTCTTGTACTCTTCGCCTAAGTGATTACGGTCGGGATGGAGTTCAAACCGTTGCGTTCTGTTGTGGAGCCTCCGAAGGGAAAATTGGTAAGCATTGATAGAATACACGCAGCGATTTATTGCATGTCGAATCGCTTCATCTCCCGCAATTTTAGTGAACAATTTAACCAAATTATAAGGGAAGGAACGCCTGAGGATCAAAGTAAATACATTCGATAAATATCAAAGGCGATTATTGTTTATTGTTATTTTTGTGACATTTGTCATTAGTCGAGATATTTATAGTAGAACCTGATTTTTTTCTTTTAAAGAGAATTCGATTCCTCTGATGTCGCTTATAATTCATTTATTATTTACCACATTTTCTCTCTGTATTGAAATTTTTCACTCTGAAAGGTTGCTCTCGGGCGTTCTACTTTATCGACCGCGTGTCTCGCAGGCTAGTTGGTTATTCTCGTCGTGTAGTGTCGCGGCGGTCGCGTGACGTAACGACTCAGCGGGATGAAATGTGGGAGGGCGGTAGAGCGTGGGGGCGGCGGGCAGGCGGCGGCGGCTGCTGTGTGACCTTGCAGTGTTTGTAAACAGACACACGTTGCCGTCGCGAACTGTTACGGACGAGCGCCATCGCGAGAGGAAGAAGCCACCCTGTGTTATTGTTTACGAGCTGGTCGTGGTGCATCGTACGTAGAGAAGCATCGCGCGGTGGCAGCATGGAGATGGCAATGTGCATCGTGGAGAACGAGACGGTGAGTCCGCATATTTTTGCCCGATCGAGCGAGCGAGCGAACGGAGCGCTGACAATGTGCTCGTGGCGCTCGACGCAAACCTGCTCGTGAAAAATGACGAGTGTTGTCACGATCGGCGGGATTACATCATGTTGTGCAAAGAGAACGCACGTGGGCTTGTCTTTCGATTTCGCATGCGTGCATTCTTATGCACGCAACGGCACGCGCGAACAGCGCTTTGTTCCGAACAGTCCGAGATCGAGCAGTCGTGGGCGCTCCAACTCGCTTTGACAAGGTCGGGGTGCGAGAAGGGGGTCGGGCGGGTGAGGGGTTGTCGTTTAGCTGGCTTGATGTTTTGTTCGTACGGTCAAGCTGGCGCCTGTTATGTCGGTTGGGATTCCAAGCGACAGGTGGCGGCGCTGCCCGCTAGCGGGCTCTTGTCCGCGATACACGATGGCGTTGTCTCGCCCACGTTCGATCGCACGTCGATCAGCTGACGGCAGATGGGATATGGGATTTAAATCAGTCTTTAGATTTGAATTCTCTCATTGTGGTCCGACACCGATACGAGTTCTATTCACGTGTCTTTTTCGCAGCGTAAGCTTAAACGTCGACTTTGTATGTTGAAGCAAGTTTGTGTAATATGTCTTATTTTAAGCTTATTACTATGGCACACAGTTCCGAAAGAATAAGTGCGTGACGCGCGACACCGGAAAAGAAATTGAAACGTGACGATTGATACTGCTTCTGATTTCGAGACATCTCTGCGCAATGTCCGCGCCGCATGATACGCGAGAGTCTTAGTTCTTATCGTACTCGAGTCGAAGTCGCGCGAATAGGCGCGATTCAAACGACGGCATACTTTGGCGAGTCATCGCACGGTGGCGTCCGCGTCGCCCCCGCGTTCTCATCGCGGCCGGTCGCAGTGGTGCGGGCGCGTGCCACGCGCGTCACGTCCCTGAAGAGAGTCTCTTAGCCCGTGAACTGCGCAGTTGACAGAGCTCGCACGACGCGGAGCACCGGTAAGTTTCCTCATAGACATTTTCGCGCGATTCGCCGCGTCTCCTGACAGCGTCGCGACGTCTCTGCCGGGCCGCGGTCTCGTTCGTCGTATGTGCATGTTCCTGTATTACGCGATGGACGCCTCGTATGCACATGTGCGTGTGTGTGCACTTCTTGTCACTCGTCGCGGAGCCCTTGCACCGTCTGTGTGTCGTCGCGATGCGCGCGTGTGCATGCGCTCTTTCTCTCTCTCTCTCTCTCTCTCTCTCTCTCTCTCTCTCTCTCTCTCTC